ACAGTGGAAGAAAAGGAAGTTAAAAGGTTGTCTTTCAAATTTAAAACAAACCCATGCCTAGAAAGGATGAGTTCTGTGTTCCTGCTGCAGCACAGGCTGACAAGCAAGGCGTTATCTTAAGGTGAGACAACTCCATTGCAATCTGAGGCAAGAAATAAAGCCAATAAAGGCGGGGGGAGTGGAAACCCTGCAGTAGTGAACTCCCCCAAATGAACACAGAGGGAGCAGGTACAGATTAACAGAAACAAGATGGATAAATAGACAAGGGTCCAAAAGGTGAATGGGATAAGAAAAAGAGAGTAAGGGGAGAGACCTCGTCAAAAGAAGTGGAGTGTCAATGAAGGAGCAAAACCAGAAACTCTTACAAACAAAAAAAATACTGATGCTCACCAGCATGGAGGGGTAGGAATGTATATTCTGAAAATGCAAATTATGTTTCACCAGCGTAAAAAGCACAGTGCCAAAATACTACAGGCAAGTAATAACTGTAAGGAGATGGAACTACTACAAACTTCACCTATTTTTCCAAATCCATGTATGGCATTGGAATGTAATTCTTATCTCAGTTCTCTCAGTCCTCTGGCTCAGTAAATAGCCCAAATTTTGGACCCACATTCCAGAGGGAGTGAGTGCAAAGATGATGGCACAGCTGCAGGGCTACACAAGGGATGGTCCTGCAGGATTATGGCTGCTGCAATTCTTGTCCTTTATAAACACGTCTGTCTTTTAAAACACACGAAGCAAAAAGGGATGTGGTGATGTACATCAGCCAGGGCTTTCCCTCTGCACCTCCTGGAGAGCTTTGAACAGTATCCCTGTTCACAAAAGCTGGATTTCCATAGGCTACTCTTTTTCTGCTGGCCCACCAAATCCCACCACATCATGAGATTGCACCAATCCCTATGGTGGGATTCTCTAGGTCTGTGATGAAGTGGGAATCTACTGCAGAGAGGCTGGACATGGAGAAGGAGCACACAGAGTTACATCCACTCCAGACATCACTGACAAAGTACATAAACCCCATGTTTTCTCATTAAATAACTATCCTTCCATCATGTCCCCATTCACTGAAGGCTGTTATCCCTGCTGTCTCACAGGTTACCAGCACTTATCCTGTAAAACCCCATAATCCAGGACATGAAGGGTATAATTAGGCTATCCCAAAAAATGTAGGTATCTCCTAAAAGCCTGTCTGACCCTTCAGAAGCAAGTCACTTTTGTGTACAAATGGCTTTCTTTTGCTTTAGTTCCCTGCCCTCTCAGCAGGTCAGATGAGAACACTAGTACTGGGAATGGGTGGTTAGGATCAGGGAGAAGCCAATCCATCTCCCTGAACATCATCCAGCTCTTAGGCTGTTTTAGCTGTACCCTGGCATAGCTGCATGTTAAGTACCACTGTACCCCAAAAAGGAGAAGCCGCCCATAAAGAAAATTACTTCTAACTATTGTTCATTTTTCAAGAAAATGTGGAAAGGGTGGATATTTACCAAAAATGTTCAAAATCAGAAGCAGAGGGGGGAAAAGACAACTTCACCGCTCACTGTGTCTTTCTCTCGTAAATTCTGCATCCATTAAGTGCTGCAGTCACCTCTTTTCAAAGTGGAAAACTCTCCGCTGCTTGGATCTCACAGTTAACCATTCCCAACCCCCCAAACACCTCCTCCCCCTTCCCTTATACGCCATTCCCAGCACTTTATCTATGCTGGGATTACATGGTTCCCCCTAAATTCTCTGCGTGCACAGGGAACGCTCTGCAGAGGCACCGCTATGGTTTTAAACAAACGCCAAATCCCGGGACGGGGAGCGACCCTTCCCGGGACGGGCGGCATCCTTGGAGCCCGCGGGGCTCCGGGAAACGAAGTGCACGGAGGAGCAGCGCCCGATCCCATTCCCGGGAGAGGAGCCCCCCTAGGATGGGGACAGGGATGAAGATGGGGATAGGGACGGGGACAGGGATGGGGACGGGGTTGGGATGGGGACAGGTACGGGGATGAGGACGGGACTGGGATGGAGACGGGGTCGGGGACGAGGACGGTAATGGGAACGGGGATGAGGGCAGGGATAGGGTTGAGGATAGGGATGGGGACTGGATTGGGATGGGAATTGGAATGGGGCGGGGTCAGCGATGGGGACGGCGATGGGACGGGAATAGGGACAGGGATAGGGATGGGGACGGGGATAGGGACAAGGATGGGAATAGGGACGGGGACAGGAATGGGAAAGGGGATGTGGACAGGGATAGGGAAGGGTATGGGTACGGGGATAGGGATGAGGACGGAGACTGGGACAGGGATAGGGATGGGGATGTGGTTGGGATGGGGACGGGATTGCGATAAGGACGGGGATAGGGATGGGGACAGGGCTACGATGAGGGCAAGCACAGAGGTAGGGACAGGGCTGGGGACAGCGATAGCGATGGGGATAGGGACGGGAAGGGGAACGGGGACTGGGACAGGCACAGGGACGGAGACAGGAATGGGGACAGAGATGGGTACAGGCATGGGGACGGGGACGGGCGCAGGGATGGGGACACGGACGGACACAGGTTCGGGTCTGGGGCCGCTCCCGGGGCGGCGCGCGCAGGACGCACCAACCGCCTCGCGCCGCGCGCGCACGCGCGCGCAGGGCCCTCACGCGCTCCCCCCTTCCCCCCCCCGCCCCCCCCACGTCCCCGCGCGCCCTTGGCCCGCCCGGCCCCGCCCCCTGCCCTCCCCCCTCCCCTCCCGCCCGTCCGTCACCGCGCCCCGGCCAATCCTCGCGCGCCGCCGCCGCCACAGCCACCAATGGGCGGGCGCGGAGGGGGCGCGCCCCGGGCGGTGCCGCCGCGCGGTGACGCGCGCGGCCGTTCCCCGTGACGCGCAGGTGCGTGCGCGGGGCCGGGCGCGCGGCGGCGGCGCTGGTGGAAGGAGGTCACGT